TACCAGCGTTAAATAGCAGCTTTACACTGCTGTGTTTCGTATGGTGAGTGTAGAGAACTGGAGACCCTTTTTACTGGAAATGTGGCAATCCACCTTAGTCCTCATAGGTGACACAGGTGACGCATATGCATTTTTTTCGCAAACGAGTATAGATGTAGATGTCTATGGGCCGCAGCAACCACTTACCATCAGGTGGACTGTGTGCTCGTTTGTCACCCTATCCTATAACAAAAAAAGGTAAAAAAAATGTCATAACAACTCAAGGACATACACTTAGTATAATATTCTTCTGTTTCGTTAGTCTAGTAATAGTCAATAGCGTCATCACGTTGTCTCGCATTTAAATCCTGAATCAGGTCAAAGTTTACTGGGCTTTTCTATCAAGTAGTTCTCAGCTAGGAGCCCGGAGTCAAATATTCGTCGATTGTTTACCCCATAATTCGGTTTGGGTTCCCTCACGATATTTTCCTCCACCGCACCGACGAGCACGTGGTAACAAACACTTAAAATTACAAACAATAATTTTGTTGGTGGAACCGGGGTGGCTTATGTGCTGTAAAATTTACTGCAGGTGCTTAACCCCTGAGCTACTGAGGCTCCTGAAATTATCATTATATAAAATAAAGTAATAACTATATTATTAGACAAAATAAAATAATATTCAAATAAATAATAACATTCTCTTAACTTTAATACATTTATTAAAAACAAGCGAGTAAGGGCGGATTTTTATTATGTTATTCATAGGATAAAATACAACGTACCTAATCAAATTAAAAATGACAGTTGTATGTATGTAAAGTAATTCAATTATTTGACTTTTATATTTATTTAGTTTATAATATGTTTACCTTTTGTAATATTTAAATAATTTAAGGTTTATTTGTTAACGAAATAATTAGGAATGTCTCCTAAAGGAGCACAAATCTACATAAAATTAAGAACAGATTTCCCGGTGCTAATTCGGGACTAATAAACACCTGCTACTTTTCATTTGCATCGTTTCGGAGCGCAATCTTAGGAACACCTACGTTTCCCTTCTCCAAAAAGTGTTTAGGTAAATTTATGCATTAGAAGTGACGTAGTAAAGTCAAAAGAAGAAAATAAGGACTAAAAAAACGTAAAAAGCTAGTTAATTTTTTCCTATTATTTTATTTTTAATTATATATAATATAATTCTCATGTCTTATTAGAAGTCGATATAATGAATATCTGGCCTTTAATAAATCTGTCCTAGATGATGCCTATTAAAAAAAAGTTATGTAGCGTCGTTTTGGTACAAGCCCTAACAACCATATAGTCTTGTATTACATACAATAAACAACCAACCCAAAAAGAGTAAAAATCTGTGGTTGTCGAATCATGCGTGGCTACTATAGAAAATCAACCCCAATGTAATTAATACAAAAAAATGGCAAACTAAAGGCGAGGCATATGATCAGCAGTGGACTTTTGATAGGATGTAATTAAATGATATAAAAGTGAGCTTATAGCGCTCAAAGTAAATTTCATAGTACGCGAGAAACCCGAGTTCGATACCCGCCGCCTCCAATAAAATTAATTGCAATAATATTTGTTGACATTTTACCACGTGTTTCGGTGGCGAAGAAAAATATGTCTAAGAAATAACATCAAGAGAGCACTTTCAAAACTACTTGTCGCATTGTTTTGATCAAAAATGCCAAGATTTCTACAGCAACGGGATTATGTCACTACCTACAAGGTGGCAATTATTTATCGATCAAAATGGCACATATATATTATAATTAAATCTAATTAAACTTTGAAAAAACTTCTTTAATTTGTATATAAAATACGAAGAAAATTTTTCCTCGACCCTATATACACTATTACGCTGGACTGGCTATACTCTACAAAACGTTTGTGGCGATTTGAAGCGCCGCCATTGAGTGTACCGGGAATTAAATTTGACATAATTTGCAAATGGTTGTTGTTTTGCTCAAAACGTCTAAGAGCATTTTAAAGTTTTAAACGAGAAAGAGAGTGTGTTGTGTAGTTTGGTTATGTTTCATGTTAGAAGTATTGTTTGTTACAATGATAATGCAAAATTCGTTAGCAGAAGGGGAGCGTGTCATTCCACAGGTAAGGGGACAGTTAATATTAAAAAATGTAAACTATTTGATAATATAGGCTGTTAAAAATCTATCTCGTTTCTTATTAAATATAAACTAACATGTTTGGCTCCAAATTATCTAGTTTTTATTAACAATAAAATTAAATATACTTGCAGAGTTCCTTGTCGATACTACTTATCGATGATTTTTTTCTACCTATATCTGTTTACAACAAAGAAAGTCGCTGGCAACAGATAATAATTATCTTATTTATTAATTTACAGCTTTTTAACTGACTTTATACTAAAAATGTGACTAAAAAGCATAAAACTTGTGAATTGGCACCCAAAGCAAATTGATTATGATAAATCAATTTGTCATAATCAATTGAACTTTAAATTACATTGAACATTTTACAAATTACAATTAGTAAAATTCTAATTGTATCTCAGAGTAATTACTACCATAGAAAATACTTATAACTGAACTCTTTATACATATAACGTTTACCATAGTATAAAATAAAATAGCTATATTATTCTCACCTTCTTTTACAAGGTTGTTGCTGTTTTTTAATTCCACAGACACCTCTATTGATGTGCCATTAGCGAAACAAAAATGTTGCCGATAAGTTCATTTAATTGTAACTTAGTAAAATTGGGGATTTTTATCAATCCGGTTCGTAATACTTATTTAAATCAATAAAAGTTTATGAAAGCTTAATCTGACATCTTACAACAAAAAAATAATGCGAATTTCGTACTGTTGTTGTATACTTTAAAATATATCGTGAAAAGATCACTATGAAATCTACTTAAATTCAACAGGTATATTTCCGCCAAATTGTCCTTAGACTTATTATGAGTTCGTCAGGGAATAATAAATGTGTTTATTTAATCGACACTTGATTTGATTCACGGAACGTACACAGAGCACTGCTACGATAGTACAATGCGGCACGACCGCGGTCTTCCTTCTCTTTCGTCGCTAGTTCACAATTACCAATAAATTGATTATGAACTTATTATTCGTTTTACTCTCTACTCCCTCAAGATATTGTCCATCATCAATTCATTAATTCCAACTTATCAAAAGTCCACTGCTGATCTCAGGGGGAATATTTGCCATAGTTGCCTCACTTAGCAAGTAGTATAGCAACCGCAATTTTTCATTATCTTCAGTTGTTATCAGTAAGATACTTGTTGTCTATCTCCTGTTTCATTTCCCTATGTCGTCTTTTACGATACTTTATGGGATGTTATGAAGTTGTAGTGTTAGATATTGGAATAAACAAAAACTTAACCCCAGAAAGTTTATTTTGTCACACACAATGTTTATATAGTATTTACTAGCTGTGCCCCGCGTATACCACGCGTCTGCGCCGCGTGACATGCGAGCTTCGAGAGACACATCACGACGGACGGTTGCTGAATTAAAAAATATTTAAAAAGTGAAAATGTTACTTAAATGTAGGTACCATGTAGGTTAACGTAATTGGTGGCTATGCATGGTACATATACTTATATAGCCTTAAATACGCAGTGATTTATTTGGATATAAGGATAAGTATTAATACCAAGGTACGAATAATGTGGCCTAGTTTGTACCGGCGTTACTATTGCATATTTTAACATGAATAAGTAGTTTTAGTGACATAACTGTAATGGTTAGACATATAGTATAGCAGGCTTTTTTGTAGATATTGATGTCTTCTATAGAACTGTAGTATATCACTTTGCTCTATTGTCAATAGTTTCCGCAGCGTACGCGATATAAGGATATTTTTTAGTATTTTTTTCACACCTTGTGTTACATTAACGAAGTTTTCATACGGATCCCTAACTTTTTTCAAAATATTCTATTACCTATGTTCAGGGATAATGTAGGATTCTAATAGTAAAAGAATTTTTCAAATCAGTCGACTAGTTTCGGAGCCTATTCAATTCAAACAAATAAACAAACGAACAAATCTTTTCTCTTTATAATATTGTATGTATGTATTATATTATATTATAGTGTAGATTTTACAAGTCCACAAACAAAAGCAAGTCTTATATTATAGCACGTGATATTAGCACAGCATAGAAGTATACAGCAAGAAAGTCAATAGAATAAGAAGAAGAAATATAGCGGCAACAGTACAGCGTAATAATTTGGAAGCGTAAGCGACACGGATTCACTGCTGAAGTCTGGGGTTAAATGTAGGACGGCCGTTGACGTACGCGCAAGTTCTTTTGTTTCTAATATTATTTACCTGAAGCGTTAGGAGACATTTATAGGGTACAATTTATACGTTTTTGGTCTTCCGACATATCAACATTTAAATTTAACTTATATAACATTGTATTACATTTATTTATATACTATATACTGTTTATTTATACATTTTAATTTATAAGTATAATTATTATTTTATTCATATTTAGCTAATTACATAATGTTTGTGTTTTTATTAATATAATTATTATTTAATACAAAATTAAAATAAATTTAGTTTTACAGTTAATAATACAGTCCACCACACTACTCCCACCCCCTCCTCTCCCAAAGAGCGTCCTACGAACGATAATATTCCGGGGCCAGTACTACTCACCCAGAATGCGTTCGTTTAATATTTGTATCTCCTTCAGGTAATGGAACTTCCGACAGAGCGGCATTACTATCAACGAATGGGTAAGCTGGTTTTAGTCTGTCAATGGACACTGTTGTTGGTTTGCTGTTTAAAAGGATTTATAGAACTTGTTGTCTCTTTTGAGCACTTCGTGTGGTAGACGTGGGATGTTGTGGCGAGATCTTTAAAAACGAAGGTTGTCTTTTTACAATGATGTTAAGCTGACTGTGGTTGGATGTTTCAGACAATTGAACGTAATCGCGAGGTGAAATCTATGACGAAGTGTTTATTTGCGGAGAAGGATGTAATAATTCTCAAGGCAGTCTAAGAGCAAGCACTAGGGGAAGAGCTCCTGTCCAGTTTGTATTGGCGTGGCAGGTTATTACTGCCTTAAGCTGTCTATAGAACCTCTCAATCATTACGTTACAGGCAGGATGAAATGCTGTAGTCGGTTTATGTTGGAATCCTACCATTCGTAAAAGAGCCTTAAAAAGTTCCGGCTCAAATTGACGTCCTCTGTCCGTAACCACTTCGCTAGGGCAACCAAAGCGTGCTATCCATCCGGATATCAGAGCTTTGGCGACTGTCTTTGCGATTATATTTTTGATAGGTATTGCTTCAGGGCATCTGTTAAAACAATCTATAACAACGAGGCAGTACTTGTATTCATTTGATACAGGTAGTGGTCCAACAAGGAATATGTGTATGCACGCAAGTCTTGTACGTGGTAGTTTAAACTTACCAAGTGGCGATGATACATGTTGAGTGAACTCTGTCTGCTGACATGGGTGGCAGGTTCTGGTCCACTGTCGGCAATCTTTCTTCATTCCGGGCCTGACGTAGAGCTGCGCAATTAATTTTACAGTTGCGTTAGTGCCAGTGTGACTTAAGGAGTGAAGATTTTCAACAACCTGACGCCTAAAAGGTTTAGTCACAAAAGGCGTGAGTGAGTCGCTGTTGTCATCACAGTAGAATTGCGTCTGTGTTCCAGGTATGGTAACTTTACGCAGGCGTAATGATGTTGTATTCTGCAAATTTTCTTTTAACTCAGGGTAATCCATTTGTGATTTAGCCAGTGCTACTAAGTCGATAGGTAATGTTAGTTCTTCTTGGATGCGGACAGTGCATCCGCCACGACATTATATTTACCTGATACATGCTGAATATCCGTGGGGAATTTCGACATAAAATCCAGATGTCGGAATTGCCATGGAGAGCATTTGTCTTTCCGTGTGTTAAAGGCGAAGCATAGAGGCTTATTATCGGTGTACACTGAGAAGTGTCTGGCTTTATTATATACCTTCGTAGATTACAAGCAGTTCCCTATCGTACGGGGAATATTTGTTTTGCGTTAGGCTTAGTTTCCTATTATTAGAACTGCACCTATGGTGGTATCCGATGCATCAGTGACTAATGCAAGTCTTGTATCTGAGTCTGGGTGTGCTAGAAGAGTGGATGTTCATAAGCTTCTTTTGCAGTTTTCAAAATGTCTGTGTATCGCCAGAAATGTTTACCGCATTGGAACCTTTCACTTGTCCTGTCAATAGGACATGAAGTGGTGCTTAAATATTCGCCGCACCAGGGATGAATTCGCGATACAAATTCAGTATCCCTAAAAATCGACAAAATTCTCTCACCGTCCTTGGAATCGGGTAATCTTGGACGGCCTGTACCTTTGTTTCGAGTAGCATTAAAACCTCTGCAGATACCTTGTAACCGAGAAATACTACCTTCTTTGATGCAAAGATACACTTAGATGAATTTATAATAGTTCCGTATTCTTTGAGTTTGTCGAATAACTGATAAAAATTTTCCGTGTATGATTTTTCATCTTTGCAGAAAATGAGGAAGTCGTCCAAATAGGCAAAAATCCATACCTCTAGTCAGTTCATCGACAAATCTCTGAAACGTTAGACCTGTGTTTCTAAGCCCGTTCGTCATGTACCGGAACTCGAAGAGGTCAAAAGGTGTTATGATTGCCGTCTTTGGTATATCCTCTTCACTAACCGGGATTTTGTTGTACTCTTTTACCAAATATATCGTTCAAAATATTGTACAACCAGAGGTGTTATGGGTGAAATCGTGGATATTTCGGATGGGGTGGCCGCCTGGGATTGTGCGGATGTCATGAGCATCTGGTAGTCACCATATGGACGCCAACAATTTTCCTTTTTCGGCGCGAGGTGCAATGGGAATGACCAAGCACTTTCAAATGGGCGTGCTGTTCCGTTTTTAATCATCAATTCAAACTCTTGTTTTATCACCTTGAGTTTGTCTGGCCTTAATCAGTGCGGTGTGGAACTAATTGGGGGACTTGGCGTAGTCCTAATATGACGGACAGTGCTATGGGGTGTTGTTATTGTATTCCAGCTGGACGAGTTATTTCTAGATAGCTTTGGAGCAAGTCGTGATAAAACGAATCGCTGATGTTACTGGTCAAGCTATTGTTGAGAGTTATGTAGTGGACCTTTCCTCCGGACTTAATAAAGTAACCTGAAGGTGTACTTCGGTGAATGCTACTGAAACTCCTCCACGAGTGTTTTGAGTTATGGGCTCGTTTTGTTAGGTATGAATAGGCCTTACCTCCGGACTTGATGGATTAACTTGAAGGTGTACTTCGGAAACTGCTACTGGAACTCTTTGAACTCGCTGTAATAATGGCAGATTAAATCAAATACTTTTTTGGAATTCTTGAGTCTACCCCCATGTCAACCACTTCAAAAGTGTCTGCCAATTTTTTTTTCTTCATTCTTTATCAACTTAGCTGACGGATAGTCATTCTTATTATTTGAATCAAACACTTTTTTGGGCAATTTCTTTTGTGACTTACCTGTATGCGCAGTACCATGTGTACCCAGGTAGGCCAGGCAAACAGTCATATACCTGCTTATTGAGTGGACTGATACTTTTCAACAAAGTTTCATGATGCATCAAACACTTCATGAAAAATGTGTCATGAGCTCTCAGACCATACAGTGTCATTTTGAGTTGAAATGATCGAAATGTCATCATTCAGCAATTTCGAACCTCTGATATACGAGTAGTATTATTTCAAAAAAATTACGGTAATAACGTATCAACTACATTTAACAAATACCTAAAATGAAGAGTAATTTCAAACTGATTGGCAATAGAGTAGCATTTTGAGATGATATTATTTTGCGTAAAAGAAATCACAGTTAACAGAGTATTAAGTAAAAGATAACAATATGTTGATCGCATACATTTTATTTATTTGAAGTGTATTTATTTTAGCTGAAGTGGCAATGGGCCGGCCATATAGCTCGAAGAACCGACAACCGATGGGGAAGAAAGGTTCTCGAGTGGCAGCCTCGTACCGGTAGGCGAAGTGTAGGGCGTCCCCCCACGAGATGGAGTGACGACCTGGTAAGACATGCAGGAAGTCGATGGATGCAGGTGGCTCAGGACCGTGCTTTGTGGCATTCTTTGGGGGAGGCCTATGTTCAGCAGTGGACTTGTGAAGGGCTGTAATGATGATGATGATGATGATGATTTTATTTATTTGTCCCTATGAAACAATTTACGATAGCGTTACTCGAAATGATACAAACACAATTGTCTTTAGCTTACAACCTAGCAGGGGAAACCGACTTATGTTCATTCAATGACTGATCGTAACATTTAATATAGATTTTTGTCGTTATATTTTGGCAAGTGTTTGAGATAAAAATACGTTTATCTTACCAGTTGGTGGGGAAAAGCAATATTCTTTATGAATCAGTTATTAACTAAAATATGAAAATTTTTGAGTTAATACAGTGTTACTTGTTAGGCACGTAATGTCCAGTAGTTGATTGTTAATGTCCTCCATACCGAACGACCGATTTTTGGCCCAACCCGAGAATCGAAACTGGGACTTTATGATCAGAAGTCGATGGAATGTTATAGACTGACCAAGAAGGATATTATTAGAATTGCAATACACTGATAAATGAGCAACATTCACCAAGGAAGTTGATACAAAGCCGAATAAAGTGCTTTGCAAGCAGAACAGAAACAAAAGGCAATAAACGCCTTATTTGAATGTCTTGCGGAGGCATGTTATTTTAAAATGCAGATCACGAATAGGTTCTTTTATTATTTGTATTGTTGAGATGTTTTCCTTAGTGGAAACGCCACAGAGTGTTTTTTTAAGAAAGTGACTAATGCCGGATAACCGGATGAATAATTTTATTTTAATTATCAGCCTAAGGCTAATTAGAGTTTAGCCGGCTAAAACTAGCTGCAGCTGATTGTGGTTTGATAAAGACAAGTATATTTGACATATTCATGACTAAATGTCCGCTTACGAAAGTGTAGTGTGTAGGTGGTTGCTTTCTTCTGAACTAGGTTTAGTGATTGCCGTATACTTCAAACCCCGGCTATATCTTTAAGAAAGTCATGGGTAATTCTGAGTAAACCCAGTTAAATTTACGTTTATTGGAACGAAGTACCTTATCAGACGGTACAAATTTGGCAGATGGGGGCTAGGCGAGAAAAAGTGTAAGATTTTTCCGTCACTACCTTTTCTGACGTAGTGTAGACGGCCCTGGCGCTTATAAGGAAGCGAGATGGAATAATATCCATCGCCCTCGCACTTTTTCTTATCTTGCCATGAAAGAAGTATTATATTAAATTACGCTTCATTTTAATAAATGCTAGTACTAATTCATTTACTTGTTAATCAATAATATAATACGTTTGTCAATAACCATATACTGTACGAAAGGAGCTTCGTTCCAACCGAGTGTTCCACGACACTCCCGCATTTTTTTATTTCTTCTGGCATTATCTAGGCAGTAGGCCACCTTTTCTGTCCAGAAGCCTGTTTGGGTAAGTGCCACCTTTTTACCTATTTTTGCTGTCACACAGCAGGTTATAGAAAACCATTATATTTACAGGCCGTGATGCATATCATCTTAGTCCTCATGTTCTTTGGCTGCAGCTAATTATAGCCGACTAAGCTTAATGATTTCTTATATTTACGCGAACACTACACATTTAAATAAAACTAATTTTACGGATTTTATCGCGTATATTAACTTATTTTATATTCCCGACGTTTCGGGCACTTTTCAGTAACCGTGGTCACGGGGGGGACTGAGGTGTATGACGTCGTGAGGCGCGGGACCCAACATGACAATAAGCTTCGGGTCCCGCGCCTACGTCACAGTGAACGAGTGAAGCCGGCCACAGTCGTGCGAGTGCCTGCTGTACTGCCATATGTCAGAGGTGTCACTGACAAGATGCATCTAGAGCTACATCTTGAAGCGTGCTTCTATTAAAACATATTTCAAGCCGTCGAAGAAGATTAGTCAGTTTTTACCATCAGTCAAGTGTAATATTCCTCTGCAAGATGCAGAAGTGTACAAGCTTGATTCTGAATGTGGTCTCTATTATATAGGACAAACTAAAAGATCCATAAAAACCCGCGTTAAAGAACACATAGCTGATGTGAAGAATCGACGTTTCGGGAAGTCTGCAGTCTGTGAACACGTACAGGATCGCCCCCGTCACTACATTAGATTTGATAGACCACAAATCCTCGCTAAAAACACCGATTCCTCCCCAGGATGATTTGCGAGGCTATTGAAATTAAAAAACATCCTAATTTCAATAGAGAAGATGGCTGGGTGCTACCATCTGCTTGGGATCCTATAATTAATAAAATTAAATCCCAACCCAAGCATACAACTGCAAGACTTCATGATACTGTAAGTTCATACTGCGTAGATCGGAACAAAAATTAATATTTTTTAATCTGAAGGTAGCCCTGGTTAACTACGACAGTGGGACGTCATACACCTCAGTCCCCCCCGTGACCATGGGTGCTGAAAAGTGCCCGAAACGTCGGGAATATAAAATAAATTAATATACGCGATAAAATCCGTAAAATTAGTTTTATTTAAACGACTAAGCTTAGTTTATATTTTTAGATAAATAGAGAAGTCTGATAAATACAATAAAATTATTCGTCTGGTACGATGAACAATTCTATTCAAGCTCTTTTTTGCATTTTAATTTATCGATTCATTAATTTTTGATATAGCTTTCAATTTAC